GGGGTGATGGAAATAAATAGGATAATATACCGACACATGGCATATAAACAAATGCAGTATAATGTGATCCTTATTGACTACGTTTCCCACACTAGTGTGCTTTTTCAAGTCACAAACAGAACTGAGAAAAGTAGGTGATCCGACAACGATTGAAAAAGAACCACTGTTGATACAGTTCAGGCATTATTAAAGACTTTCGTCTCGAGTGCCGTTTCCTTAATACATTGGATCCATGAATTTTTCCCTGTACTAATGTATTTTTAGAAAGATCAAGGGTGAAGGAACCGAATATTTTTCCTATAAATATGTCATGTGATTGTTCGAGTTGGGTTTCTAAACAACTTGGTATTTATGGAAAGGTTGTAAAACCTTGGTTAATAAAGATTTCCATTGTAGATGAAGTGTTCAAGAACTCTGACATGTTTATAAACTTATCACACCATCTGACAACTCTTGGGTATCTTTATTGAGGAAACGTTTCGCCACACAGTCCATACAAAGGAGAATCTTGAAGAACAGGAGGAGAATGAGGTAATCAGTCCCTCAACCTTGAGTCGATGTGGTCAGTCCATCAATCTTGATGAAGCCACTGTGTGGCGAAACGTTTCCTCAATAAAGATACCCAAGAGTTGCACATGTGTCTAATTTATCCACCGACAAGTTGGTTTAGAAAGACACGTAAGCAAACACTATAACATATTTATTAGAAAACGTTTCGGTCCTGGGACCTTGATCACTTCTAACATACAGAGGTAGAAAGACATTATATATATAGGCGGAGAGTGAGATGTGACGCACGTGACCTGAGGAATGTCATAAGAACATAAGAATGGAGGAACACTGTAGAAGGCCTACTGGCCCATGCGAGGCAGGTCCTTATCAAAACAACCTCTGCCTATGATGAGGACGGGTAGACGATGAAATCATATGACTCCTGTGTTGTTGGGTTGGTGCTGCTTAAGTATCATGTATGCCAATGTTTTTGAAATTTTGTAGTTTCCAGTGTTGCGTTCTATAGTGTCGGTGACGGCGATTAGTGAGGCTTCTAGGCACCGTCGGCGTCTGAGGTCTGGTTCGGTGAGAACGAGTTATG